TTTATTGTGCCAGTCAGCTGTGATATCCATCCAACCCCCCACGACCCCCCCCCCCCCTCTCCGAGTTCCAAAACACCATGGACTTTAACTATAGATTTGAAGCTTTCGTGACTGCAAGGATTCATACTCTTTGTTTTTTTCGGTAAAGTCACGTAGGTAAAATTTTTATGAAATAAATTAAATCACGACGTTCCGGAGGCAACACAAGCCTCCGTCTTCAGGTGGAACACACCACAGCAAAATCACTGGACTTTCTCAATCTCCCCCCGCCACGCTCCCCCCCCCCATGTCAACAGATGTTGTATTGCTTTCAGCCCAACAACCTTCTCAATGCTCGAGAGGCACCACGCGTTTAATAACCGTCCATATCTGGCGAGAACGTTGACAACAACACACTGGTGATACGCTTTAATTTTCAGATGCACGCATGCTGCGAGTTGCTTGGAGAATGCACACTGAAAGGACCTCCCCCTTTCATAGCAGGGACACCGAACATTTTGCAACCATTTAATATTCCACATGGCCTTGATTTCAAAGCATATATGGAAAAAATAACACGAATTCTTACGCCCGATTGAAAAATGGTCAGTATTCGAGCCCTTCAACGGGAAACAAACACAAACCCTCACCCTGCACAATCATTCTCCTGTATTACATAACCACGCGGGGAACACAATCCCGTTAAAACTTAATGATATGAACATGAGGTGCATTTGTTATGCTTGCCAATGTATTTAAATTTACCATTTAAAAAAAGGTTACAATGCGCAGGACGGAAGGTGAAAGCACATGTGAAATGCTTAAAATGGCAAAAGATTTGGCTGAGGCCTAACCACAAGCTTCCTTCAGTGACATCTCTGTGCACTGTTTATGTAATAGTAAAACAAACAAAAGCCAGGAAAATACTGCTCTATATTTCTGTTATTCCCAATAAATAAAATGTCCTACCTTATGACACCAACAAAGCAGGCAATTCCTATATCTTCTTTTGTAATAAACATCCGTGTTTTAATGAAGAGATCCAACATGTGCCTTTGTAATTGCGTTTCAGGGGGCTCGGTTTATTTATCATTTTTATCCCTTTGTTTGTGCAGCTTTTGGCCGAGGAGAGATGAAACGCACGGAGATCGAGCACTATCAACGCACGCTCAGGCATCAAAAAGGCTTCCTTTACAAATACAAAGAATCCTCTACGTACGAGCGAGTTAGGTTCCAGAGATCTATTCATAAAACTTTACTCCCGTCGATTCTAAACATGTTGTAAGGCATGTACACTAAACATGAGGAATGGCTTTAAAAGTTGTATAATCTCCTGTAGATGCCACTGGTTCTTCGTGTTCTGCACATGTAGATGCCACCATCGCCATCTTTTGCACGGCAGTTGAACTTACAACTCACGGTCCGAACAGGCAACTGGACATACGGACAGGTTCGTTCGTATCTCTTAAAGTTCGTAAGTCGAATATCAGTAAATAGAGGAGTCCCTGTGCAAGACACGGTCCATTCAACGAGGCCACCTTTCTGCACCGACACAGTGATGGGCAGAGCTACACTTAGTGGATGGCCGCTGAGACCGAATTGTGAATTTGCCCATGCTCTTTCCGCGCTACAGAGCACAAAGACGGTGATGGGAGAATAATTTGCGCAGGTAGTTTTTCGCACGGGGCACATTGTGACCCAGGTCGCTGTTGCAAATGAGACTTATTCCCCGGTCTCTCTATAGAGTTCCAAACTTGGTTATATAAATAAACTTGAAAGAGCAGCGTTGTAAAAACAACCACAATTTGCTTGCGTGGGGAGGGGGAGGGAGGGGGGTGGGAGCCTACGCAAGGTGGCCAACTTATACAAATGCCAAGAGAAAATAGTTATTTCGAAATCTCTCCCTGGCTTGCATCCCCAAAAGGTTTCGTCAGCTTCCGCGGTACTCTTGTGCGAAAGGCAAAAAACGCGCAGCCTCCGGTAAATTATATCCAAGCCATGCATGACCACACAAAAAATGTATGAACGGGCGGTGAAAAATAACAAGCGGTAAAAAGGGCATTTCCGAAATATCCCAGACCCACTCTGTCGACTGTTACCGTGTCAAAATGTCAGCATCTGCTCAAACTGTCTGTGCGAATCCACCAGGCGCTGGCAGTGTCAGCTGTCTTAAGATCGAGATGTCGGGAGACATAGTTGCCGGGCTTTAAAAAAAACAACAACAACCAGCATTTAGCACGTTTCCACCCGGGCGTCCGAGATGTTTCACACAACACAACACGGACGACGGGCACCGGGCCCATTTAGCCTCAGAGCCCTCGCGCTAACGAGCTCGCACGAGACCGTGAACTTAAAACTAAACCAGTTTAACACGTAGTAGGCTTTCACGACCAATTGAGGTTTTTTTTGGGTTAAATCGAGTAAACGCGTGTCATTAAACCCACCACCACCCAACACATCCAATTGGTAATGTATGTCACGTAAACAAAAGTGCCAATTCGTTACTAGTTCAGCACACCGGTGTGTTGGAGAGTAAACCCACAATTTATAACGACAGTACGACGTTTTGTCGGTAATTACAACCAGCCTCATCAGGCGACAGCCAGAAATGGCAAACGCAACTATTATTTTACCAGGTAAGGCCCACTGAGCTGTATAGCTCTTTTTCAGAAGCAACCTGGCCACAAATAATAGCCCAATGAAGTGGCTTATCCATGTGGAAATTTATAGCAGCAAAAAAACTCTAAAATAATGTTGCTTTTTTTGGGTAAGATCGCGTAAATATAAATGTGTCGTTAAACCCGCCACCACCCGACACAGCCAATTAGTGAGGTTGTCAAGTAAACAGAACATGCCAATTCATTACTAGGACAGCGCACCGCTGTGTTGGATAGCAAATCTGGCTGTCGCCTGATGAAGCTAGTTGTGTAATGACTGGCGAAACGTCGTACTCAGATTATAAATGTTGTGGATTTGCTCTCCAAAATAACGGTGTGCTGTCCGAGTAACGAATTAGCATGCTCTGCTAATAGGATTTTTCCCCTTTTTTCTGGCAACAAAACTGACACCTTTTGCAAGGAATCATGCTTACATTAACCACAATACTTGCAGTCAAATGCAAACAAAAAAACAATACTCTGATAATTTATGCATTGTCTTTGAAACTGATTGGTCCACACCAGAGACAGCTTTCTTTAGAGCCTTGTCTCATATGGTGTTCGACCAGATGACGCCAAAAGGCGCACTGCTCTGTTTAAGTGACAAACCTTTCTAATTGGCAGTGTCGACGGTGGTGGGTTAAACAACACATTTATATTTACGCGATCTAAGCCAAAAAATCTACATTGTTGATGACATTGGTCGCGAAAGCCTACGTGTTAAATACCCCAAATATATGTTTATAAATGGGTAGGGGAAAACCAGAAAACCCAGATAAAAATCCACGCAATAATGGAGAGAGAGACATGCAAACTCTAAATATGCAGGCATCAGTCGGGATGGAACCCACAACCTCTGTATACCAGGCGAGGTAGTTAACATCTCGCCACAGTGGTGCCCTATTATTAACTTCCATTGTGAGTCTCTCTTATAGATGCCTGCACCTTCCCAGGCCAGCAGAAGCATCAAGATGCACGCCGCCTCATTATTCAGCAAATACACGAGTAGCAATATTGGCTTAATTTATCCAAGTAGCTGCAGCTGCAAGCAGAAATGGAAATAATGACACGAGACCAAAAGAAATGGGAAATTGCTCATCACTGACGCGGTGGAGTCTCGGGAGAAGCACGATGACCGAGTGAAGCAGCAAAAACTTCACGAGTATTTTGGAAGGACAATAAATTGTATTTCGTGACCAAATGAATGAGCCACAGGAGACCAAAGCCTGTGTCAGTGCACTGATCCACGAGCACACTGACAGAGCAACAGTTTCCAAGTAACATAGGCATGCAGGAGAAGTCAAACATTAAAGCAAAAGTCAACCATGGTAACCGACTATCCACATTCCCCGCGAGGTAATCATCCAGCTTCCTGCGGCTAGATACATCCAGAGGTTGTAAATTTCACCGAGCAGAGAATGATCATTTTGCTAAGAGCAGTCATACCCTAAGGGGCCAACGTAACACAATGCCATACAGTGATGTGGCGCGCAGGTCACCTGCCAGCAATTCAATAAATCAGAATAAGAGGAGTGAAGCTGGCAGCAGATTTTCGGCTAAAAGATTCGACGCAGTGATATTGCCTAGCGGTATAGCATGTTCGACATTTGCTGCAGGGGTTCACGAGGTTTGAGTCGAGAGGCCACTCTGGTTAACACCGAGGGTGCATTCGCCGTAATATCAGCGCACACTGCCTCATTCCCAGTTTACGTTAAAGATCCCGTGATGTCCCGTGATGTCATTCGCACCGGAGTCATGGGCCAAATTTGAAAGAAAAAATGCACTCAGAAATTACTCAATTGGAATATATACAGAGCAATCATTGCTGCCTACCGTCAAAAATACTTGGCAGAGCCCTCCTGAAAAAGTAATGAACCAGAGTAATAAAAAAAATGAATAAAGTATGGTACGAGTGTGAAACAATGCTTCACGCTGCTTTGGTATGCAATACACACCCTCGGCAAAAAAATATAAATAGATGCATTGTTTTTGGTACTTTATTTCAAAATACGTGCAGGCTAAATGGAATGGTCAACTGGCTCTGCTTAACAGGTCTCGTTAGTGACCTTGCGCTGAATTTCCCCGGCGCTCAATCATCTCAATCATCGGACAAACACAAAGTCCAGCAGGGCACGTTGCCACCCACAGGACTTTGTTTCGTCCGTTTCAAGCGAAGCCATTGGGCAAGGGCCAGAGTGACCGTAGTCAACGCGTGGCTGTTTACCAGACATGCGCGTTAATGTTTAAAGCAGCGAGAAGTCGTCGTCCTTGTCTGTTTGCTCCAACTGATTAAAGAGATTGCTGCAAAACTGCCGCACGGCGGTTTTTGTTGTTGTTGGCCATTAACATATTTGCAAGGCTCACCGAATATGTTGGTGGTGTGGCTCTTCTTGGCAATAGGCTTCAGCTCATTGGCACCCCAGGCGTACTGCTTGTAGTTGTTCCACGCATGCTTCATCATCTGTACAGCGGAGGAAGAGAAGAAAAAAAAAACCTTGAGAAACATTCTCCATCATCAAACGTGTACGGCGGTGAAATAAGAGAATAAAAAATGAGCGCAAAGACCAATTTAAGCACGGCTCACCAGATGAAAAACACACATTGTACACACATGAATAATTATTCCTTATTTGGCCTACAGTGAGGGAAAAAAGTATTTGATCCCCTGCTGATTTTGTACGTTTTCCCACCGACAAAGAAATGATCAGTCTATAATTTTAATGGTAGGTTTATTTGAACAGTGAGAGACAGAATAACAACAAAATCCAGAAAAACGCATGTCAAAAATGTTATAAATTGATTTGCATTTTAATGAGGGAAATAAGTATTTGATCCCCTCTCAATCAGAAAGATTTCTGGCTCCCAGGTGTCTTTTATACAGGTAACGAGCTGAGATTAGGAGCACACTCTTAAAGGGAGTGCTCCAAATCTCAGCTTGTTACCTGTATAAAAGACACCTGTTCACAGAAACAATTAATCAAACGGATTCCCAACTCTCCACCATGGCCAAGACCAAAGAGCTCTCCAAGGATGTCAGGGACAAGATTGTAGACCTCCACAAGGCTGGAATGGGCTACAAGACCATCGCCAAGCAGCTTGGTGAGAAGGTGACAACAGTTGGTGCGATTATTCGCAAATGTCAGAAACACAAAATAACTGTCAATCTCCCTCGGCCTCGGGCTCCATGCAAGATCTCACCTCGTGGAGTTGCAATGATCATGAGAACGGTGAGGAATCAGCCCAGAACTACACGGGAGGATCTTGTCAATGATCTCAAGGCAGCTGGGATCATAGTCACCAAGAAAACAGTTGGTAACACACTACGCCATGAAGGTCTGAAATCCTGCAGCGCCCGCAAGGTCGCCCTGCTCAAGAAAGCACATATACATGCCCGTCTGAAGTTTGCCAATGAACATCTGAATGATTCAGAGGACAACTGGGTGAAAGTGTTGTGGTCAGATGAGACCAAAATGGAGCTCTTTGGCATCAACTCAACTCGCCGTGTTTGGAGGAGGAGGAATGCTGCCTATGACCCCAAGAACACCATCCCCACCGTCAAATATGGAGGTGGAAACATTATGCTTTGGGGGTGTTTTTCTGCTAAGGGGACAGGACAACTTCACCGCATCAAAGGGACGATGGACGGGGCCATGTACCGTCAAATCTTGGGTGAGAACCTCCTTCTCTCAGCCAGGGCATTGAAAATGGGTCGTGGATGGGTATTCCAGCATGACAATGACACAAAACACTCGGCCAAGGCAACAAAGGAGTGGCTCAAGAAGAAGCACATTAAGGTCCTGGAGTGGCCTAGCCAGTCTCTAGACCTTAATCCCATAGAAAATCTGTGGAGGGAGCTGAAGGTTCGAGTTGCCAAACGTCAGCCTCGAAACCTTAATTACTTTGAGAGAGATCTGCAAAGAGGAGTGGGACAAAATCCCTCCTGAGATGTGTGCAAACCTGGTGGCCAACTACAAGAAACGTCTGACCTCTGTGATTGCCAACAAGGGTTTTGCCACCAAGTACTAAGTCATGTTTTGCAGAGGGGTCAAATACTTATTTCCCTCATTAAAATGCAAATCAATTTATAACATTTTTTACATGCGTTTTTCTGGATTTTTTTGTTGTTATTCTGTCTCTCACTGTTCAAATACACCTACCATTAAAATTATAGACTGATCATTTCTTCGTCAGTGGGCAAACGTATAAAATCAGCAGGGGATCAAATACTTTTTTCCCTCACTGTACATCTTCCCAAAATACGATCGGCTTTATGTCATCCCTGTAAGAAGTGAGTCGCAGCATGAACCATGTGGGTGCTTTAACATTTAAATCTGAAAATCACTTTTTCAGGGATTAAATAACTATGCTGGTTCTTTGTGGATTTTTTTAGACTTATTTAAATTTCAGAAGAGCAGTCTCTGCCAAAAAAGAATAATAATGAACCTTAGGGGCGCTATAACACGCACCCTATATGACACCTAAGGGACTGGGAAATGCATATATGATTAACGCTGTTTTATATATGAGTCAGCCATCAAAGCCAAAATACATTTTGCATTCCAACGCTCACATTTTCCCAATTGATAGAGAATGCCAATGATCTCAATCGGTTTACTCTACAAAAAATACACAGCTTCTTCAACTACTTTTTAACAGCTGATCTTAGCCTGATGGCTTGAGCAATGCGGCCTTCAATAAATCAGTCGATCTTTATTGTACGTGCCAATATCACCTCAATAAAGTAGGCATCGGTGCACATTACAAGCAAAACGAAATCGGTACACAGGGAGCATAGAGCAGCAACACGAGTGATACATAAACCGGTAACGATTTCCCCTTTACAAAACAATTGCTATTTATGCCCCTTCTCTCACAGAGGTTACCCCAATTTGATTCCGAGACTTCAGTTATTTTTTTAGGGTAGCCGCTATAGGTTCAAGTGAAGCAGAACGTAATGAAAACAAATTAACTAAACAGATACTTCCAGCAGTTACATAGGGCAAGTCCAATGGGATCGGTTAGTACTGTGGACTAAAAGAGATTATTATGGTACTGTGCCCTTCCGATATTAGGAAGCCGCTGGAACTAAGCACTTTTAAGTCTCGAATTAAAACTAATTTCTTTAGAACCATTTGTCGTACTCTTTGATTCTTTTGGTAAAGTCACGTAGGTATAAAATAAAAGAACCAAAGAATATGGATTCCTGCAGTCACGAAAGCTTCAAATCAAAACGACTTGTCGTGTTTGGTATGTCGTCCTTCCCCAGCACCTCTGATGAGCGTGGTTGGTTACGCACGGCGCGAAAGAAGTTCAACGTACATACCCCCTAATACTGCTGAAATGAGGTTCTATTCCAGCCTCCTCCCAAGGACCGAATTCCTAAACGTTGCCATCATCATCCCATGCACCCAGAGGGGGGCCTCCTCCCTCCTTGTGGCTGACAGCCTGAAATGAGTACCAGGTGTTTGCCGCGACGTTTGAGGGAGAAGAAGCAGCCAGGCTTGGCACTGCCAACTGCCTTCGTGGTGCATGAGGCCATGAAACGAGTGCTCATTAGGAGTGCAAACCCTTTTTTTGGACTAAACATAACCGCGTCGGTTTTTCGCGGTTTGCGCTGCGTAGACCTCCCGACGTGCTTTTTATTTTTTTGTCGAGTCGCGCCGCATGTTTTTCGGGTCGCACGGTGTCCGACGTTTCACTCCGCACGTCTTGGCAAACAACACGCGGGGCACAACGCGACAACACGACGGAGAGCTGGATTAAAATAAGCAGTTCCCGTACGTGCGTATGTACACTAAGAACTATCAGCACTTGCATCCCGCGTGCAATTTTCCGCGCGACAAACGCGCGCCTGCAGATATCCTCTTCCACCAAGTTTACACGCGGCCTGTTTTCACTGCTGTACAGTACGCAATGACGTAAGCACATGCACCATGTGCAACTCATTAGTGCACATAGACTCGAAACATCCGGTCTCAACCAATGGGCCTGCGAGGTTTTGATAGAGTGCTTGCATCATGCGGAGTCAATACAACTGCCTTTAACCAATATGACAAATAGCCACCGCATGCGACTTGCATCAATTATGCCATTAGTTTCATCCGCTGCTCTACCAACACTTTACCCCCCCCCCAAGTAGTGTGCCAAAAAGAATGTCTGCATCGAAGGACAGAGAGACTTGTCCAGTGTATTAGCTTCCTCGACTTGGGTTAGGCTTGTCTGTAGCTGGCGAGCCCTACTTTACACCTTCAGTGGTCCCAAACGTGGGTAGGCCACACATGTGACAGGCATATCATTGACCTCGAAGGCATACCAAAATCTCGAAACTTTACGATGGAACAGTACTTGTATTGGGAAGAAAGTTACTTATTATACCGGCTTCTACAGGCATCACTTTCCCTGCACATTTATATCTGGATTACAGAGGGATAGAATAACCTACCGGGAAAATGTTTAGTCAATTATATCTGTCTGCGTTATGTATCAGAGGTCGCAAACGGGTTGTGATTCCTTACCCGTACCCGGCCGCACCAGGGTCGCAAACGGGTACCCGTACCCGGCCGTACCCGTACCCTGAGTACGGGTAGGGTACGGGTATCGGGTACCTGGGATGAAGCCATGTTGCAGGCGCGGGTGGGTCGATTCTAGGAACTTGAATTGTGAGAAGAGACGAGACGTTGGGAAATGAGTGACAAACAGTTACTCACCAGTGACTCACGGCCTACCCGTACCCGTACTCGGCCGCACCAGGGTCGCAAACAGGTACCCGTACCCGTACCCGGCCGGGTACGGGTAGCCGGGTATCGGGTTGCGACCTCTGTTATGTATGCATTTTGACTATCATGGGACTTTCTTATACAGAAAGCATGCAATACAAAACGCTTTCAAAACTTTCCAGTTAGAGCGCAACTTGGTCCAGTGTGTGCCCACGGGAGGGGAATAGGCACCCAGGTGGCGGAATGCCGACGACGAGAAGCAACGCATTCACGAGGCAATGCGTCTACAAAAATAGAACTCTGCAGTCGGCACCTGTGGCTTGCCAAGAGATTTTTTTCTCTGGCAGAGAAAAATGTAAAAGATCGGGAAGAACTTAACCCATGTCTTGAACCGCTGTCAGCTTCAACGTGATTAAAGGGAAACTCAAAAGCGACCATTGTGGCATGTGCAAACAAGCAATGGTCGACTTTAATGCCTACATGCTACGAATTGGAACAATCTGCAAGTTTAGCAATATTATTTGCTTGGGAATTAAACTTTAGCATTCATAATCGATCGCCGGCATCCCAAAGCCTGCCACGAACGCGAGCTGCTCAGAACATCTCCACACAATGTGCGGCGAAAACGGCACTGCTAAATGTCAACCAAATTGTTTTTTTTGGGGAGGATTCCAAAAAGAAGGGTCGGTAATTTTACAAAGCATGTGCAAAAATGGCCACCGCCTTATTTTACATGTGCCCAGGT